GGCAACTTGTAGTCCAACATCAGAGAAAATGTGTACACTATAATATTACTGGGGTTAACTAGAAAATTATTCCTTTGATATGCCTTCACTCAGTGTCATTTCTTTTAACCCTTTCAGGGTTTCGGCTGTACTAGTACGGCTTACGCGCCAGTGTCCATGACGTACTAGTACGCATAAATTCTAGCGCCTTCAAATCTCGCGGGAAAAGGCTGGTAGGCCTAGGTGTGAGAGAATGGGTGTGTGTGGTCGGTGTGCGCGGTAGAAAAAATCTAGGACCCTGTGGCGCATTGTGGGAATGCCATTTTAGTAGACGTTCGCCATGCCTCGCGGTAAGAAGCTCCTCACTCCTCAGCGAATTGGGACACTTTTGTTCCCCAGTGACAGTTCTAATACAGATGGAAGTGCCAGTGAAGATGAGTTTCAAGGTTTTGGTGAGGTTTTGACTGAAACTAATGACCATAATATCGGTAATTGTGAGGAAAACCCAGACGACTCTCAGCCTTCCACCTCTGGTGCTGGGCCGTCTTGTTCATGTTCAGTTGTACCAGAATCAAACAGGAAACTCCTATTTTCCCAAATCCTGGACTCAGATGTGAGCATTGGAGATGATAGTGATAGTGAATATGAACTACAAGCTCTTGAAACCAGTTCCAGTAGTGACAGTGAAGTGCAATATTCTCCAGTGAAGCGTCAGTATATACGACAATATATGCGCTCTGGCAGTGTGCCATATGCTATTCCAAGGGGAAGGAGTACATCTCGGAGTACATCCCGTGGCTGTACAACAGGAACAGACAGTGAAAATGATGATGATAGTGTTGCAATTGGGATGGAAAATGTGCATGGTGGTAGTAGTGGTGGTGCCGGCGGTGAGGCACCATGCTGCCACCTACGCTGCCACCCACACTGCTGCCTCAGCTGATCTACAACAAAGGCCACCATCCCCCACCCACCCACCCACCACACCAGCCTCCACAACCACAACCTCCACAACCACCTGTCATTGTCCAGTACCCACCAGCAGACCACACCTGGGATTGGCAGGAATCTGTCAATTTTGTTTCAAATCCCCACCAGTTTGATGAAAGCCAAAGTGGAATACGGCCATGTTGTACACTGGGGAACAATGCCACTGAACTGGAATGTTTTGAGTTATTCTTTGACGAACCCATGATGGAAATTATTGTCAGGGAAAGCAACAGATGCTATGAGTACACCATGGCAAACAATACTTTCACCAAGCTCATGGCTACACAGGTGGAAGGAGACAACTGTGGCTGAGATGTATCTTTTCTTTGCCACAATAATGCTTATGCCACATGTGTATAAGCACAAAGTGAAATCATACTGGTCAACAGACCACCTGATTGCAACCCCAGGTTTCAGTGATATAATGGAAGTGAATCGATTTGTGCTACTATTATGTATGTTTCACTTCTCAGACAAAACCAGGCCTGACAGAAATGACAGGTTATATAAGATTAGGAATGTGTGTGTATCTGAAAGAGAAATTCAATATGTATTTTTATCCCTTCAGGAAGCTTGTAATTGACGAGTCTTTGATTCTGTTCAAAGGAAGACTCTCTTTCAAGCAGTACATACCAAGCAAGAGGAAACGCTTTGGTATAAAGTTGTTTGTGCTTTGTGATTGTTACAGTGGTCTGGTATTGGATATTATTGTGTACACTGGAAGTTATACATTCCAAAATACCAGGAAGTTATTGGGCATCTCTGGTGATGTGGTTAGAACAATGATAGAACCATACCTTGGTAAGGGGCATATATTATATACTGATAACTGGTACACAAGCCCCTCGCTCAGTGATTTTTTGTGAGTGAACATGACAGATGTGTGTGGCACAGTGCGTGCAAATCGGAAACATATGCCCAGGTTTGATGCTGACACTCGTACAGGTGAGGTTCAGGCGTTTGCTGCCAATGACATCATGGCATTTCGGTGGCATGACAAACGAGATGTCACACTGTTGTCATCAGTTCACCCTAAAGAAATGACAAACAGTGGCAGGCAGCATAGAGAGACCAATGAACCCATTCTAAAACCTGCAGCTGTGATTGATTACACCCTCAATATGCACTCAGTGGACAAATGTGACATGCAGATTGGGTTTGCTGATTGCGTTTGCAAGAGTTACAAGTGGTACATAAAACTCTTTTTCCATCTTCTGGACATTTCCATGCTCAATGCTTATAATATGTATAAGATGAAGACCAGAAACAAACCATCATATGGCAAATTCTGTTTGTCTGTCACCAGACAAATAGTATTCAAGTACCAAGGAACAACACCTGCAATAGACCGCCCACTAAATTATCAACAATTACCTTCTCGTCTGAAGCATGGTGATCACTTCCTAGTAAAACTGCCTGCTACTGCTTTCAAGAAAAAGGCTCGGAAGAGGCGTTACGTCTGTGCACATACAAAAAAACGCCCACAACAACGCAGAGACACTCGTTTTATGTGTGAGGAGTGTAAAACACCACTGTGCATGACACCATATTTCAAAGACTTCCACAGGCTGCAGAACTTCTAGAAACATTCCCTGTGACTGTATATGTGTATATAAGATACAGAAAAATAGTAATAAACAACATTTTATGTCGTTAGCGTATGAAAACAACAATTATAAATAATATAAGGACAACAGTGTTTGTGTAGTTATTTTTTTTTTTTTCCCAACAAGTCGGCCGTCTCCCACCGAGGCAGGGTGACCCAAAAAAGAAAGAAAATCCCCAAAAAGAAAATACTTTCATCATCATTCAACACTTTCACCACACTTGCACATTATCACTGCTTTTGCAGAGGTGCTCAGAATACAACAGTTTAGAAGCATATACGTATAAAGATACACAACATATCCCTCCAAACTGCCAATATCCCAAACCCCTCCTTTAAAGTGCAGGCATTGTACTTCCCATTTCCAGGACTCAAGTCCGACTATATGAAAATAACCGGTTTCCCTGAATCCCTTCACTAAATATTACCCTGTTCACACTCCAACAGATCGTCAGGTCCCAAGTATCATTCGTCTCCATTCACTCCTATCTAACACGCTCATGCACGCTTGCTGGAAGTCCAAGCCCCTCGCCCACAAAACCTCCTTTACCCCCTCTTTCCAACCCTTTCGAGGACGACCCCTACCCCTCTTTCCTTCCCCTATAGATTTATATGCTTTCCATGTCATTCTACTTTGATCCATTCTCTCTAAATGACCAAACCACCTCAACAACCCCTCTTCTGCCCTCTGACTAATGGAGTTATTGTGTAGTAAATAAAAAGAAAAAAATTATAAAATAGTGCTAATATTGGTCTCACAGGCCATAAAAGTTACTTGGAAAAACAAAATTAAAAAATAATAGAAAATAGTACAGTACCTAAAAAACAAAAAAAAATAATACTGGGTGACAGCAGTCGGCGATGTTGCCATATATGTACCGGGCATTTTGTGTCAACTTCACGCCTCCATATCTCGGTAAGTATTTATTGTAAAATTTTTTTGTTTAGCCTATAATGTTTAGAAAAAAAAAAACTCTTTTCATAAGAAATTTTTTTTTTTTTTTTAAATTTGGGGGACCCTGAGAACAAGTCTCTGAGAGGGCCTGTGGACCTTGAAAGGGTTAAAAATGGTGTTACAGGAGAATAGGAGTGTTTCTCTTTATTTATTCTACTGTACCAATGTGGAGACAACTTGTACACAATGTAAAGTGATGAAAACCAGACGCATTTGCCTGGTTTTACATTACGTGTGAGTAGGGTGAGGCAGGGAGCACTCACCCCGACTTCCTACAAATAAAACTTGCCTATCACCGTACATTAAGACTACAAATATTTTAAGGTAATTAATGCATGTACTGTATATGTATTTTATCGCTCTGGGCCGCTTTAATTAAATGTCATAGCATATTACATGTGGATGGGGTGGGGTGGGCTGACCTGGCTGGCTACCATACCTCCAAAGCCTGACTTCCTACAAATTAAGACTAACCTCTCACCCTACATTAAGTCTACAAATATTTTAAGGTAAGTAACGGGTGTACTGTGTGTGTATTTTACTTTTTATTGTTTTTAATGCATAGTTCTATTGCTAACTTAATATATATTAGTGTAAACTTATTACCTGGCATTTATATGCATTTATAAGTGGAAAAAATGGAGTTCTGCTTTCCAGCAGTAGCCTGGAACCTAACCTGCCATATATGTGGGGCCTTACTGTATACCTTTATGAATTAATAGATATATATAACTAAACTGTTGTATCTGAGTGGCTCTGCAAAGATAGTGCTTGTGTGTGAATGATGGTGAAAGTACTGAATGATGGTAAAAAGTGTTTCTTTTTTGGGTCACCCTGCCTCAGTGGGAGACAGCAGAAGTGTTAAAAAAAATTATCACTTATTTTGCTATCGCTACTTTTTTTCCTAAACTAACTTTTTATCAGTTCTCACACGGAGGCTTTGGGAAATTATGGAGGGCTGGAGCTCCTTAATTTCACCCTTGGCACTGCTATTGGACCCAAGTTACTTTTACTCCCTTAAAGGGAACTACAGCATTTATGAATACAAACTGTTCAGGTAATTTTTTTATATAAAATTTCTATGGATTTTTTCGTGCAGGTTCCAAGCTTTTTGTACTATGAAGTGTTGAGACTGAAGATACTTTATTGTGATTACTTTTTTTTTTGTACACTCTACTACTTGAACCAATGTTCCTCTGAAAACAACTGATCATCTTACCTCTCACAATGCTGATTCATTCTCCAAGCTCCACATCCACGAGAAATGTACTAATCATCCATTGTTAAATGACTTGCAATCTGTTAACATGTACTGAGAAGAGATAGCATCAGCCCTACACACCTTGGTAATTTGCAGTGTTTCCTCTTCACAGGTACCAAGCTACAGACATTTATCTACCTTCTCATACCTTCTTTTTTAAAATCTCTCAATTATTCACTTTACAATACTGTAGCTTCAAACTGACTTACCTGGTCATTGCAGTTTCCTACTATAAGTATTTCTTGTAGAGTGAGGTTCATCATTGGAGTCTTCTCCACTGGTGGTGTGTTGTGGCCACTCAGTCTGGAGCAAAAACAATACATTATTATAATCTTGGAGAAGAGATTCACTCACGTGGGTCATACAATGCCTAGGGACTGGGACATTGGGTTCGATCATAGGAATGGGAAGGTAACAAGTTCTTTGGATTAAAAGCCCCTTTCCAGCATCAAGGAACCCCACAGAAGGAATAAAACGTAAGTACATAAAACATAAGTAAATGTCGACAAAGAAAGGGAAGCGGTAATTTCATGCACTGGCCAGGGAGGTATACCATCTTTTAGGAGTGAAGAAGAACAGGATGTGAGTGTGGGGGAGGTGCATGAGCCATTAGGTAGAATGAAAGGGGGTAAAGCAGCTGGAACTGATGGGATCATGACAGAAATGTTAAAAGCAGGGGGGATACAGTGTTGGAGTGGTTGGTATTTTTGTTTAATAAATGTATGAAACCTAGGTAGTAGGTTGGTAGACAGCAACCGCCCAGGGAGGTACTACCATCCTGCCAAGTGAGTGTAAAACGAAAGCCTGTAATTGTTTTACATGATGGTAGGATTGCTGGTGTCTTTTTTCTGTCTCATAAACATGCAAGATTTCAGGTACGTCTTGCTACTTTTACTTACTTAGGTCACACTACACATACATGTACAAGCACATACATACACACCCCTTTGGGTTTTCTTCTATTTTCTTTCTAGCTCTTGTTCTTGTTTATTTCCTCTTACCTTCATGGGGAAGTGGAACAGAATTCTTCCTCCGTAAGTTATACGTGTTGTAAGAGGCGACTAAAATGCCGGGAGCAAGGGGCTAGTAACCCCTTCTCCTGTATATATTACTAAATGTAAAAGGAGAAACTTTCATTTTTCCTTTTGGGCCACCCCACCTCGGTGGGATATGGCCGGTGTGTTGAAAGAAAGAAGAAATGTATGAAAGAGGGGAAGGTAGCTAGGGATTGGCAGAGAGCATGTACAGTCCCTTTATATAAAGGGAAAGAGGACAAAAGAGATTGTAAAAATTATAGAGGAATAAGTTCACTGAGTACACCAGGAAAAGTGTACGTAGGGTTATATTTGAAAGAATTAGAGGCAAGACAGAATGTAGGATTGCGGATAAGCAAGGAGGATTCAGAGTAGGTAGGGGATGAGTAGATCAAGTGTTTACATTGAAGCATATATGTGAACAGTATTTAGATAAAGGTAGGGAAGTTTTTATTGCATTTATGGATTTATAAAAGGCATATGATAGAGTGGATAGGGGAGCAATGTGGCAGATGTTGCAAGTATATGGAATAGGCGTGTAGAAGAGAGGGAGACTACTTCGCAGTAAAAGTAGGTCTTAGACAGGGATGTGTAATGTCACCATGGTTGTATAATATATTTATAGATGGGGTTGTAAAAGAAGTAAATGCTAGGGTGTTCAGGAGAGGGGTGGGATTAAATTATGGGGAATCAAATACAAAATGGGAATTGACACAGTTAATTTTTGCTGATGATACTGTGCTTATGGGAGATTCTAAAGAAAAATTGCAAAGGTTAGTGGATAAGTTTGGGAGTGTGTGTAAAGGTAGAAAGTTGAAAGTAAACATAGAAAAGAGTAAGGTGACGAGGGTATCAAATGATTTAGATAAAGAAAAATTTGATATTAAATTGGGGAGGAGGAGTATGGAAGAAGTGAATGTTTTCAGATACTTGGGAGTCGATGTGTCGGTGGATGGATTTATGAAGGATGAGGTTAATCATAGAACTGATGAGGGGAAAAAAGGTGAGTAGTGCATTGAGGTATATGTGGAGTCAAAAACTGTTATCTATGGAGGCAAAGAAGGGAATGTATGAAAGTATAGTAGTACCAACACTCTTATATGGGTGTGAAGCTTGGGTTGTGAATGCAGCAGCGAGGAGGTGGTTGGAGGGAGTGGAGATGTCCTGTCTAAGGGCAATGTGTGGTGTAAATATTATGCAGAAAATTCGGAGTGTGGAAATTAGGAGAAGGTGTGGAGTTAATAAAAGTATTAGTCAGAGGGCTGAAGAGGGGTTGTCGAGGTGGTTTGGTCATTTAGAGAGAATGGATCAAAGTAGAATGACATGGAGAGCATATAAATCTGTAGGGTAAGGAAGGCAGGGTAGGGGTCGTCCTCGAAAAGTTTGGAAGGAGTAAGGGAGGTTTTGTGGGCGAGGGGCTTGGACTTCCAGCAGGCGTGCATAAGAGTGTTCGATGGGAGTGAATGGTACTTGGGACCTGACGATCTGTTGGAGTGTGAGCAGGGTAATATTTAGTGAAGGGATTCGGGGAAACCGGTTATTTTTGTATAGCCGGACTTGAGTCATGGAAATGGGAAGTACATTGCCTGCACTCTAAAGGAGGGGTTCGGGATATTAGCAGTTTGGAGGGATATGTTGTGTATCCTTATACGTATATGCTTCTGAACTGTTTTGTTCTGAGCATCTCTGCAAAAACAGTGATTATGTGCGAGTGAGGTGAAAGTGTTGAATGATGATGAAAGTATTTTCTTTTTGGGGATTTTCTTTCTTTTTGGGTCACCCTGCCTTGGTGGGAGACGGCCGACTTGTTAAAAAAAAAAAAAAAAAAAAATGTATTAGGTAATTCAAATTAATTTAATAAACTTATCTTTGTGGATGGGTATCCTGGCTCTTGTGACAGTCTAGCAGTGTGTTCAAGCAATTTGTTAACTAGTACTGAAATAGATGGAGATAATACCTGGAGAGGAGAGCACCACATATGAAATAAGTAAAGACTCTAATGGAAACAAGTCACTGACTTTTCTGGGTTAATTTACATGTTACTATGTATGATAATTGTACTTATCCTATTTTGCGGCATCAAAGACACTATTTTTTTCAAAATAAGTCTTGAAAATTTATCCAGCATCTTGGAGGCCAAAGTACCATTTATCTTTTTTTAAATTTAGCCGATCAGAATGGGGGCGGGTCTTCGACACTGGAGCATCACATTCACTATAAAATAAGGTACGTGTACCTATGCCTAAATTAACTTGCTCATGCTGGGAGTGGATAACTGATGTAATATCACAGTCACTAACTGACCAATGCCAATTACGACGACCTGTACATACCAATGAGGTTCAAAATGTAGACAGCACTACTAAAAAAATAATTATTTGATGAATACCAATTTGTGGTTACCTTCATGTCTTACATGATTATCCTATATATTATCATTTTCTATAGGATAATATGTTCAGAGTTCAGGTTTGTATGCTGGGGACTCCCTGCATACTACCATGCAAGGACTAACTGCATGGTAGTATGCATTGCTCGGCAGACCTTCCAGTCCTGTGGTGATTTTGGTTTAATAGATTTTGCTTTAACAGTGATCCAGTGGATTTTCATACAGCCTTTTCTAGCCACTTGGCCCTTATACTTTTTTAATTAATATCTAGCTCAGAAATATAACCTCAAACTGACCTCTATTTCTCAACCTGTACTACTTACTGTAGGCAACTAAAACTGCACCTGCATTTAACCCGTAAACGGTCCAAACGTATATATACGTTCACTACCGTACTGCCCCAACTTTTTTGAGAAAAAAACATTGTTGTTTTTTAATAGGAAAAAAAGAGCATATGGTACCCAGGCATCCCCAATTATTTTAATATGGTGCACAGTGAGTGCTCACATCCATTCTCACATGTCTAGGCGACTCAGGCTTATCGTGGCAATGTTATATGTAGGACACATAAAACGTATATATACGTTTGGGGTACTAGCGGTAAAAACGTATATATACGTTTGGACCGTTTACGGGTTAAACACAGGGTATAGTGTGCATTTGTTGTCATAGGTTGCAAAAGCCCATACATTCATCCATTTGTATCTATGCACTATCAATCAATGATATCAAAGTTTATTCTCTATAAGGATTACAATGCGGGGTTTACAGATTTTGGTTATTTTGTGGTTTACATGTAATAAAATACTAATTACAGAGGGGGCCACTAGAACACCTAGCATGGCTAGGCATTTCGGGCAAACTTAGATTAATTCTTAACCCTAAATTATTACAAATTGTGGAGTAAGTTGACTAAATACTAAGTGACTAAATACTAGTTTGTGAGTTTAGCAATGTGAATGCTTTTGTTTTGGCACAATACATAGTTTCTATATTGGAGTATCACAGGCAAACTTATAACTAGCTAGCAATCATTATTTTAAGATTAAGATACGTATTTCTGCGCTTATAGTCAAATGGGCGAGTGAAAGTGTAAGTGTGAACCACCAGGTGGTTTTTATGTAGTTAGTTGACGAGGTGTATCAGGGAGATAAAATGTTTTCTAACGGTAGTTTTGAAGGTGATGAATGTGTCTGCAGTTCTAGTTTTCAGGTAGGGTGTTCCAGATTTTAGGGCCTTTGACATACATTGAATTTTTGTAAAGGTCAAGTCGGACACGGGGGAATGTCGTAGAGATATTTGTGTCAGGTGTTATGCCTGTGGGTCCTGTCACAACTATCAAGAAAGCATTTTAGGTCAAGGTTAATATTGGAATTTAAGGTCCTGTATATGTAGATTACACAGTAATAAGTGTGGATGTTCTGAACAGAAAGTAAGTTTAGATCTATGAAGAGTGGGGGGGGGGGGTGTTGCCAGGGATGGGATTTAGTGATTATTCTTACTGCGGTTTTTTGTTGAGTTATTATTGGCTTTGGGTGTGTTGCTGCAGTTGATCCCCAAGCACAAATAGCATAGGCGAGGTATGGATAAACGAGTGAATGGTATAGTGTGAGAAGGGCATTTTGCGGCACATAGTATCGTATCTTGGAGAGGATCCCAACTGTTTTGGATACTTTTTTTTGATGTGTGTTGGATATGGGTGCTGAAATTCAGGTTGTTGTCGAGGTATATGCCTATATAAAAAATATTAAAATTTTCACCCAGTTTGCTTCCCTACCCTCCTCTTACTGTGGCTATATTATAGATTCCTTACCTGTGAGAAAGCACTATGGTGTTTGAATCCATGTCTAAGACATTGATGGTATTGTCAGCATCAATGAAAGACTTTATTTCAGCTAGCACAAGCGACCACTCTAGCTGATCTTCTGGTTCATATGTTGTTGTATATTCATCTATCTGTTTACTTAATTCCTGTAGCAAAATAAGGAATTCTGGAGATTATCGGAAAACAAATTACCGAACATGGATCCTGCAAAAACTGGTCTTTATACTGCATCTATACTAGTGTCAATTACATGGTTCAAAATTACAGCACTGAAACATAAAACAGAGTTATTTGTTTTTATTAACATATCAGCTATTTCCCACCAAGGCAGGGTGACCCAAAAAAGAGAAAATGCTTTCATTATCATTCACTCCATCACTGTCTTGCCCGAGGCTCACCTACACTACAGTTTCAAAAAAATTGCAACATCAACACCCTTCTTTCAGTGTGCAGCTACTTTACTTCAAAATTACAGTACTAAAATACAAAACAGTTTTACGTGCCATAAAAAAAAGTGATATTTTTAGTGACTAAATTTGCATACATCTGTCACTAGAGGGGTAATACTGTATTTACAACCTAGCAGAAAAAGATGCCGTATCAGGTATTTCAGTATACAGCAATACCTGATATCCAATTCTAATTAGAATCATCAACAGGTAAACATTTGTGATCCAATACAAGTATAGCAAAAGTGCTCATCATAGGTGGCTGTGAAGACTGACTTTACTAGGCTGCCATTTGTTTCTTAGAACAGTTTTGCTGAGGATTTTATTCCCAATTAAGCACAATAAATAAATATTAAAAAGTAAGTAGTAGGTTGGTAGACAGCAACTGCCCAGGGAGGTACTACTGTCCTGCCAAGTGAGTGTAAAATGAAAGCCTGTATTTGTTTTATATAATGGTAGGATTGCTGGTGTCCTTTTTTTTGTCTCATAAACATGCAAGATTTCAGGTACGTCTTGCTACTTCTACTTACACTTAAGTCACATTACACATACACGTACAAGCATATACATACACACCCCTCTGGGTTTTCTTCTATTTTCTTTCTAGTTCTTGTTTATTTCCTCTTACCTCCATGGGGAAGTGGAACAGAATTCTTCCTCCGTAAGCCATGCGTGTTGTAAGAGGCAACTTAAATGTCGGGAACAAGGGGCTAGTAACCCCTTCTGTACTAATTACTAAATTTAAAAAGAGAAACTTTCGTTTTTCTTTTTGGGCACCCTGCCTTGCTGGGATACGGCCAGTTTGGGGGGGGGAAAAGGGGGAGGGAGAGAGGAGAGAGAGAGAGAGATGGAGAGAGAGAGATACAGAGAGAGATATAGATATATATATATAGATAGAGAGATAGAGAGATAGATAGAGAGATAGAGAGATAGATAAAAATGAGGATAGAGAGATAGAGAAAATAGAAAAGAGAGAGAGAGAGAGATAGAGAGAGAGAGAGAGAGAAAAGAGAGAGAGAGGGGATAGAGAGAGAGATAAGAGGGGAGAGATAGAGAGAGAAATAGGAAAAAGAGGATAAGGGGGATAAGAGAGAAAGAGAATAGAGAGAAGAGAGAGATATAGAGAGAAAGAGAGATAAGAGAGAAAGAGAGATAAAGAGAAAGAGAGATATAGAGAGAAAGAAGATAGAGGGAAAAAGAGAGATAGAGAGAAGAAAATAGATAGAGAGATAGAGAGAGAGATAGAGAGTAGGGAGATAGAGAGAGATAGAGATGAGGAGATAGGAAGATAGAGAGAGATTAGAGATAAGAGAGATAAAAGGGGATGAAGAGATCGTAAGAATTTTGAGAGAGATAGAGAGAGATAGAGAGAGATAGAGAGAGATAGAGAAGATTAGAGATAGAGAGGTAGAGAGGAGAGAAGAGAGGGGAGGTTGTAGTGGTTGGTAACAGCAACCCCCCAGGGAGGTACTACTGTCCCGCCAAGTGATGTAAAACGAAGCCTTGATTGTTTACTGATGGTAGATTGCTGATGTCTTTTGTCGTCTCAATATGCGATTCAGGCATGTCTTGCTACTTCTACTTACACTTAGTCACACTACACTACCCTTACACATTTTTTTTAACACACTCATCTATTTTCTTTGATTTTATCTTATAGTTCTTGGTCTTATTAATTTTCCTTTATTCCATGGGAAGTGGAATAAGAATCTTTCCTCCTTAAGCCATGCGTTTTTGTAAAAGTCAACTAAAATGCCAGGGAAAAAGGGGCTGTACCCCCTTTTCCCCAAAAAAATTACTAAAAAATAAGAAAAAGAAAATTTCAAAGTGGGAATCTGAATGTGCGTGGAGGGTTGTGCAAATGAAAAGAAAGAAAAAATTTTTGGAGTTATGAATGAGAAGCTGGGTGTCCCCGGCTTTTTGGAAACAAAGCTAAGGGGTGGGGGAGTTTCAGTGGAGAGAATAAATGGGGTTAGGTCAGGGGTTTTTAAATGAGTTAGAGCTAAAGAAGG